CTCAGGACCCTCTATCCTGTCCCATTCTGAACTTCCAACATCCAGCCCCTCAGACCTGCTCTGGTCTGGCCCTCTCCTGACTGGAACAAGTCTGAATGCACTAAGCTTCTCAAAGTATTCCTCAGCCAACCTGAACTCTGAGAGCTGGAGGTCTCCTGACCTGAATACTCGCTAGCGGGTGGATGCTGTGATAGAATCAAAAATGGCCTCACCCTTCCCAGAAGTGTTGGAATTGCCATGGGCCTGTTGCAGGAAGTGGCTCTGCCCCTCCCTACATGGAGATTCTGTGTCCCATGAAACTTAAGAAACCCTCCGAGTACTCTCTACTACTCAGTACTGGCTGCTCTACTTTCTCTGGAGTGACCCTCAGAGGACTGGGGCAGGGAGGCAGGAGAGACGTGGAACCCACGTGGACAACATAGGGAGCATGAATCACAAGGTCCCAGAATCCCTGCCGGAGCTGAGCTTCCCGGACCCTGGGCTCTGCCGGCCAGCAGGCCAGCCCGTCTGTGGAAGGGAATGTTGCCTTGGGACGCCTGTTCCCAGCACCAGGATGTGCCTAAAGATAGCTGGGGCTCGATTTCCTCCGTGCCCTGTGACCTTTGACTTCTGCCCGCCACTGCTGCATCTGAGGCTCCATAGCATGTCCCCTGGGCACCCCCAGTGGTTGCTCGAGATTCTATTCCTGTTTCTTTCTCAGTTCTGCTTATGACCTTGGGCTCCGCTATTCTCGGGACCCAGTTTGGAACCGGTTCCGCCTCCATTCAGTGCTTGTCTCTAGGATACAGCCTCTGAGGAGCGCCATCTCTCCTAGCTAACCTAGGCAGCTGCGCCTGGACTTTATTAGGTGCCTGTGGTCCCCTAAAGGCAAGTGACTGAGGATGCTCCTTCTCTGGATGCCATGGTGGGGCAGAACAGAGTGTCTTGAGGGCCATGCATGTAAGCCAGTGGCACTTGGACCGTCCCAGGTCTGTGGCTTCTGTTGCCATTTGTGCCCTGGTAGGCTGGGAGTAGGCAGCTGGCCCCTGCCATGGGGTCCTCACTTCCATCCCCCTTTGCCCCAGGTTTGGGTATGAGGACAGGGGTCCCCTGGGTCTCTTCAGTGTCCACCCTATGTCATCCTTGGACCTTCTGCTGGGCTCTTCATGTGGCAGGTGCCCCGTGGAGGGTGAGCCACTTCCCAGCACGTGCCCAGATCCACATGCCTGCTGCACGTGTCCCTCCCCGCCGCTCCCAGCCCAGATGGTCTCTGCCAGGCCAGCTCAGCTGCCTCCCTCACGCCTCAGCAGCTCCTAGGACAGGGCCATGCAGGAACCCAGCTGGCCGGGGTGCCTCCAAGCCTGGGAGCAGCTGGGATGCTTGGGGGCACTGGGGGTGGGGGGTGGCGGTGGTCCTTTCGTGGAGACCTAGTGCCTCTATACACATGTGGGGCTGGGCTCCCTGGAGCTCAGAGGACAGGGAGCTGGAGGAGAGGAGCCCAGGACAGGAGAGCCCTACTGGGTCAGCTTTAACCCCACAGCAGCACACCAAGTCCACAAGCTGGCCAACTCAGTCCCCTCCCGTGTGTCCGCTCCCCACTCATACAGCATCTTGGGCAGAAAGGCCTTGGTGAGCCTCACTGGCCTCTCCCAACATCTTTTTTTTTTTTTTTTTTTTTTTTGGGGGGGGGTATGCAGGCCTCTCACCATTGAGGCCCCTCCCGTCGCGGAGCACAGGCTCCGGACGCGCAGGCCCAGCAGCCACGGCTCACAGGCCCAGCCGTCCCGCGGCACGCGGGATCCCCCCGGACCGGGGCACGAACCCGCGTCCCCTGCATCGGCAGGCGGACTCTCAACCACTGCGCCACCAGGGAAGCCCAAACATCTTTGAGTTCACTGGTTGCTTCTGCCCCTGGAAGCCTCATGATGAATAAGAGCAGTGTCACCTGGGCTAGAGCCCTGGGTGCCAGAACATCTGAATTGTCCTAGAAGGCTTTTTTTAAAAATTTATTTTATTTATTTATTTGTTCGTTTGTTTGTTTATTTTGGCTGTGTTGGGTCTTTGTTGCTGCACGCAGGCTTTCTCTAGTTGCAGTGAACGGAGGCAGGCTTCTCACTGTGGTGGCTTCCCTTGTTGTGGAGCACAGGCTCTAGGCATGTGAGCTTCAGTAGTTGTGGCACACAGGCTCAGTAGTTGTGGCTCACAGGCTCTAGGGCAGAGCTCGGTAGTTGTGGCGCACGGGCTTAGTTGCTCCGCGGCATGTGGGATCTTCCCGGACCAGGGCTCGAACCTATGTCCCCTGCATTGGCAGGTGGATTCTTAACCACTGTGCCACCAGGGAAGCCCCCCTAGAAGGCTTTGAAAGCACCACAGGCCACCTGGGGCTGCCCCACCCCGACCTGTTCTGTTACGCTTTGACAAGAGGGTTTGGTTACTTCTTGTCTGCAGCAGTCATCACAGGGCCTAGTGAACAGTGGGTGCTCACCCAGCCCAAGTCCTGGCATGTAGCAGGTGCTCAACTAGTATGGGCTTGACACACATTGGGATCTGAGCGAGCACAGGCTTGACACCCACCTGGCCTTCCCTTGGTAGAGGGCCTGTCACTTACCAGCCACTCACCTAGCATGAGTCCCAGCATGTAACAAGTGCTCAGCTAGTACAGACATGGCAAACATTGGGCACTCACTTAGCACAGTGCAAGGGGCACAGTGGGTGCTCACCCTGCTCAGGGCTGGGCATATACTGGGTCCTCACATGGCACAGAATTTGGCATGCATGGGGCACTCTTGTAGTGCAGGACCCAGCACACCACAAGGGCTCCCTGTGGGGTGGACACACAGTGGGTGCTCTCTTAACACAGAGCCTGGCACACAGTGGGAGCTCTCCCAGCACTGGATTTGGTACACACTGTGTGCCTTCCTAGCATGGGTTTGACACACAGTAGTTCTTCTCCTACCTCAGGCACCGACACACAGTGGGCACTCTCCTTCTATAAGGCCTAGCACAGAGAAGGTGCTCTCCTAGCCAGGACAGCCTGAGCAGTGACTTAGATAATCAACTAGATGATCCTAGATGTGCAACTACCCCCTCCCCAGTGAAATGGACAATATCTAGATCCAGAGGAAAAGGCCCAACCTCCCCAGGCTTCCTCTCCGGACCTAGGACCTGCCCTCCATTCCCCTTGGTCTCTGTCCCCTCCCCGGCCTCCCTGGAGGCCACCTACTCAGTCTTGCGGCCTCCCCTCCCCTCACACGGCTTCCCTGCAGCCCCTCCGCCCCCAGCACTTTCCAGTTCTGGCTCAGTAGGACCTTCCCTCGGAGTCACAGGGTACAATAAAGCCCCTAGACTCCTTGGCCCTCTGGAGCCATGCCCACTCTTATTAAGAAAAGTCAGGGGCGGGGTTGGGGGAGTCGGCCTCCCTGAGTGGGGCTGGAGCAGCTGGATCCCGCTAATGAGGCCTCATTACTGCCAGGACCCAGCTGGGCCGCTGCCGCCTCCTGTCCCCATGGCCAGAGCCAGAGAAAGCTGTCCAGCCAGGGCTGCCTGTTCTGGGCACCCAGCCCAGGCCAGGGCAGCCAAAGCCCAGAGCCCACCCTGGGTGGAAGTGAGCAGTTGGGCATCATGGGTGACTGGGCCTTCCTGGAGCCAGTGGCCCAGCCAGGGCCCTGGCGCTCAGTTTGGGCTCACAGGAAGTCTGCGGAGCGTGTCTGGGGACCCGGCTGCGTGAGGCTGGCCCGGGGAACAGCTCAGTCAGTGGAGTCTGAGGCCATTTTTAGGAGACTTGCTTGAGCCGAGGTCAGTCCCCATCTTCCTCCCCAAAATGGGCATAACAACATACCTACCTCAAGGGGCTACTGGAAGGATTAAATGAGTTAATATATATATAAAGTGTTTAGGACAGTGTCTGGCTCATAGTAAGCCCTTAATATGTACTATCTGTTACTATTATTAATAATGCTAATAGCTTCAAAGATGAATGGATATTATCCCCATCTTAGAGATGAAAAAACTAAGACCAGACATGTTAAGTGACTTGCCTAAGGAGATATATATAGTGAGAACTGCCAGAGCTGGGGTTTGAACCCAGGCTTGTCTGACTCTAAAGCCTTTGCCCTTAAAAAAAAAATGTCATCCTGCCATGTTCCCACTGGGGTCACCTCACTTACCAAACTCACAGGGAAGCTGTGCTTTACATCAGAATTCATACATGCTTCCATTTGACCGATGTTTACTGAGATCCTACCATGTACCAGACCCTTTGCCAACCTATCAGTTTCCAAAAAGAGCTATGGTTCCCAGCACCAGAACACTCGTGCCCACCTTCCTGGCCATGGGTTTGTGGTGTCTCAGCACCTGCTGGAGACTGAGCAGTGAGTGTGGCCTCAGAGAAGAAGAGTTGGATGGATCTGGGTGACATTCCACCCCAGGCATGGTGACACCTGCTAGACTGTGCCCAGCCCACTCGGTACACACTCCCAGAGGGAATACCTCAGGTTCTGGGTGACACAGTGCTAATCCTTAAAGGTCCTTATTCTGCAGCCACCCTCTTGGCGAATGCCATCTTTCTTCAGACAGGTGACAGCACCGTTCGCTAAGCCAGAGCTTTTTTACATGGTCAGTCATATTCTCTGATGAGGACACTCCATCATCTTGGCTGGTTGGGAGTCTCCATCTCCTGGGAGGACTGCTTCAGGACCCATCACGCCCCAGCCCACAGCATTCTAAGAAGTCTGAGATGCTCTGGTTGTGCCCTGTGGGTTGCTTCCCCCTTCTCCTTCACCATCTCTAGTGCCCAGTGGTACCCAACCACCTTACCAGGAGCCCACCAAGTGCCAGACCTATGCGCTCAGAAGCATCTGGGCCCCAGACCTCATTCTGGAATGGGACTGAGCCGCCGCCCCTTCTCTCTCTCTTCCACGCCCGCTCTGCCTCACCCTGTGGCTGTGAGTGTGTGTGTGTGTGTGTGTTTTGTTCCAATAACTTGCTGGGAACAAGGGAGAAATACAACAAACCCTGCGCTTCACTCTAACTGTGGAGCACCCGCGCTGGGCTGCATGGGGACTGGCTGGAGGGGGAGGGCCGGGGAGGGGGTAGGCAGAGCTTCAGGAGGAGATGAGGTGAAAGTAATTGATGCTGCCCAGCCAGCAGTGGAGGAGGCAGGGGATGCGTCAGTGTCGCCCGGAGCCGGCAGAGGTGTGAATGAGAGGGGACACGCACACGCCCGCCAAGTGCTCACCCTGGGATGGCCGCGGCTCAGGGACCTGTGGCCCCCTCCTCCCCAGCACAGGTCAGTCACCTTCCAGGAGGTCGAGCCCCCTCTCTGGTGCCAGGAAGACTGGGAGGCAGGGCTGGGGGTGGGGAGAGGGACTGAGTGGTCTGTGCCAGGGAGGGGCAGGCACAGCCAGCCAGAGAGACAGACACCAGCAAAAGTGACCCAGAAAGTTGCAACTGTGCGGAGGCGGCACAGGGGAGGAGCGTGGGGCTGCTAGGGCTCCCCCAGCCCAGGGACCTGCTGAGAATCTGCTCTGGGTATCAAAGCTGCATTGTCCTAGCTCCCGGGGAGACGGGCCGGAGGTGCCCAGGAATTGTACTAATCAATACAGCCCCATTGTCTGTGCCACGGCAGCTACTCCTATGGGGAGAGTGGTGAGGGGGCAGGGGGACTTGTTACATGGACTCAGTGGAGAGCGTGGGGGAACGGGATGGGGCGACAGTCTCGGCTGCGAGGAGGGAGACCCCACGCGGTGTTCGCCAGTGTCTAGGACAAGTGCCCGGAGGGCATCCTGACTTGACCTTCGGAAGGCGAGAGAAGGAATGTCCTCTGGGGAGATGTGGGCTGCATTTGGGAGAAACATTATGCAGGGCTGCCCTCCACCTTCAGGACTGCCAGGGTCAGAAGCCAAAGCCACTTTCCAGAATGCGAGCCCGCTGCCAACCGAGCGGGGCAGAGACTGCTTACGGCTGCCACAGTGCAGGGCATGACTGCTGGGCTTCAGGGCAGAAGCAGAGCCCACCCAATGGCCCTGTCACTTCTTCCAGGGCCCGGAGTGGAGCCTGGCATGCCTGGGGTGCATCTTCTGTCTGCTGTCCACAATACTGGCAGATCACCCCAATCAGGGCTCTGGGACGAGACAGCACCGGGCATGTCCTTGCCTCTCTCACCTCCTATATGAGGGCCTGATCTCCTGACAGGTGCTCGGAGGTTTTCCTTGAAGCGAGAGGCACTAATAGCCCCCTGCATACTGCTCGGGTCTGGGGTAGATTTTCCCACGGTCCTGCTGCTCCATCCCGGGCCCTTGACTCTTTCTCATGTCTG